TAGGCCGACAACTGACCCAGCTCCGGGGGCCATCAGACCCGGCAAAATTAGTCGTGAGCCGGGCCAAGTTCTGGAGAAAACACACAGGCCCGAGTCAAGTCCGGCCCACAGGGCCATTTCTGAAGCTAGACCAGGTTTTGACCTCACCGGGCACAGGCCAGAAACAGGCCGGGCTCTGGACCGCAGGCTTTTTGGACAATCCTGCTCATGCAAAACCGCACGAAAGTTGGGCCTGAGTCGGTATATAACTTAGATTGTAAAGAAATGTTACCGTTTCTGATGAAAAATAAAAAATAAAAACAAGCCCATCAAACCATATGACCAAAAGGTTAAGGCCTCGGACTAGTTAGGCCTCAAACAAGTTCAGGTCCGTTGCCTTTGCAAGACACTTTTCACTGATACTGTCGGCAAACAAGCAAATGCACAAATAAGATCTTAAGAATAGCCATATTGAAAATAGCAGGATCAGAGGTTGACCTCATGAAATGATTAACCACCATATTAAACCCACAATGAGTTATATGATCTTCAAAGTTTTCTTTATTACGCATTTGAGAAAAAAGTATAAGGATTTCAGCAAATAATAATCACCGAGTACAAGGATTTCAGCAAATAATAACATCACCTTGATTTATTTAACTTTAACAAACCCTGTACATAACATTCGGAAGGCTTACAAGTATTACAATGGGATGCTCCATTACTTACTGCAGTAATCCATAGAATTCCCAAGATCAAGAAAGAGAAACATCAAGATCGTGATTTTGCTTATCTCAACAACTAAGAGATATCATCACAAACCAAATATATGGTCATTGGAACTGAAAATAGAAGTGTTGAACTGTCTAGTATTCAGATCCCCACCATCTAATGCAGAACTAAACCTATCAAGCCACTGGGCCGGATTTGGGTTCTCCGCTTCTTCCACCCAATCGGATGTCATGTCTATTTCATCGAGTACGATAGGATCTACCTCAGCATTCTTCTGCTTCGCCCTTAGCTTTAGATTGTAGTGCACATAAAGAAGGTCACTCAAAGTCTCTTTATCCAGCCTATTACGCTTTTCTGAATGCATCTGCTGAATAGAGCTCCAGTTTCTCTCAAAGGTGGCAGCACTGCAGACCTGACTCAATATTCGAACAGCAACGCGTTGCAACCCTGGAGCTGAATCTCCGTATTGTTCCCACCACATTCCTGCACTTGGAAACAATATCATTGTTAAGTGTCCAACACAGTTTTTAATTTTTTGTTGGAGATACATCATTAAATTTGATGTGTAGATATCCTTCTTCATATATTTCTCTCTAGTCCATTAAACTACTAATTTAGGAATTTATGATGGATTTCAAGTCGCTAATAGGACGTCAGTAAACAATTTTCTTAAAGTATCAACTTGCAAATTGCAGAGGGAAATTTCTCTGTTTAAAAATGGGGCAAAACAAGATAACAACAATAAAGCCTTAATCCATAGAAAAAAAATAAAAACCAAAACTCAAAATGGGACGTTGGGACCTATTCCAGAGCATATTTTAAATTCAATGAAGTTTGTGAATCATTTCTTCACTAGTAACGAAGTATCAGAACTGTATTATGTGTGTTAAGTTAACAATTGGAGTGCATTTCTTACATCCAATTATTATTATTATTATTATTTGCCTTCAAGTTGTGCTACTACATTACCAGTACTTGAAAATAATATTTCTAACATGGCATACAAGAGGCTACTTCAATGACATGACACTTTCAGTGTTAGGCTGTTAGCAAAAGCACCAATGGTTAAAAGCTTTATTTTCTGATCCAGCTACTGCACAACCTGAAACTTATGGCCTACATCACTTGCCAAAGTCAAATAGACTGATTCAAACACCAATTTAGACTAAGTATTGTTGGCAACATTACCCGCAACCAACTAAGATCCCCTAAAATAAGTACACTCCAACAGGCTCCATTTTAAAGTAAACTCAGAACCTATAAGTTAAGGAGATTATACCGGGAGAGGTTGTGTTGCGTGCTTCCCTAGCTAGGTTAGAGCCAAACATCCCCTGTGCCTTCTTGAATACATATATCTGTGTCGTGATATCATGCCTCAGTTCTGGCTGAACAAGAAGTTTATCCACGACATGGAGGAAATCCTCTTTAATGATTCCAAGAAATTTTACTTCAGGATTATATTGAATGCTAGGGTTTAGATAGGCTGCTGCTGCATGAAGACGTGAATGGAGTTGATGCTGCCACCTTCGGTCCACTATATCTAGAAATGTTTTGCACTTGACTTCATCCATTATGTAGTAAGTCCTAATAGAGTCTTTTACCTTGGTCATAGACTCATATATAGATCCTACAGCAGGTTTTCCTCCAGAAACATCTCTCAATACCTTCAACAGTGGTTCAGAAACAGCTGCAATCTCTTCAACTGCACCCCAGAACTCATTGTCTTCGAGAATGTCAATGGATGACAAACTATGTGGTCTATTAGCATAAGGAGAGGATGAGTATTCTGGACTATTAAACATGTGCTTTAGCCTTGATCTATGTTTCAGCATTGATTGCAAGGAGAGAAAACTGGAGGTAGATTTTGTGATACCAGTCCGTACAATCTCCTGACCTGCAGTGAATTTTCTCATCAGTTCTACGACCCAACCGTGGTTGTAGATGAACCTTGTAATATTCTGCGCTTGTAAGATACATCGGTTCACCCAGTCGACCTTGGAGAAATCTTCCAATATCTGGTTTAGACAATTAGAAGCACATTGAGACCAATAGATGGTGCCATAATTCTGCATGATATGATTTCCCACGCTATCATAGTTGAGAGCATTGTTTGTGATGACTTGAACAACATTTTCCGGCCCAAAATCCTGAATTACAGAATCAAACAAATCACAAAGGCATTTGGTGTTTTTGAAATATGTAGAGGCATCTACAGATTTATGGAAAAATGTCCCCAGAGGAGATGAAACATAGAAATTCATTATTGCCCTTGATTTATTATCCGTCCATGTATCAGCTATGACGGTGCATCCAGTAGATACCCAATCCTTCTCTATCTCTTTCATTTGCAACGTGATTTCTGATTTAAGCTTCTGCAGCCAAGTAGTCCTCAAAGCTTCCGGTGATGGACCTTTGAACTCAAGGCCACCGAATGCCTCCAGCATGAGTTGATATGAGGAAGAGTGGGCAACACTGAAGTCTAACTTGTTCTCAAAAAAGAACTCAGCTACAAATCTCTCCGCATCGAAAGAAGACTGCGGCCTTGATGTAGTAGGAGGAAATAATTTCACTAGCGGTGGTGAAGCCTCTACTGGGATAAGCATTTTGGTGCTGGGAATCAATACATGAGGAGACTTGACTTCAGCTAACCGTTGTTTCTTAGCACTGGCAGCTTCCTTGCCCTCCTCTTTCATCGCAATAATAGCTTTCACTCTATCAGTAACTTCATCTCTAACCTTGCTACAGGGATGGACACCTTTGCTGGGCAGCCGAGATAGATGGAACTTCAACCTACTGATGCCACCATTCAAAACTTTATTACAAAATTTGCATCTCACTTTGTTTCCTTCTAACTTTTCACAGTATTCCCAGCATACATCTTTCTCTCGAACCACTGCAGAAAAGATAAATTTCATCTATATCTATAACTTCAAAAGCCCATAAACTTAGAATTCAGTATCACGACTAGCGCTGTTATCCTAATGTCTATCTGGAAGATGTTTCTTGTCTCAGATTAAACTAATGGTAACTGTCTACCTCATGAGTCTTCACTAAGTCCCTCTAACTATTATATCAAAACTCTGAAGTTATGGTGATGGTTGAGGTTTATATTTTTATACTCTAACATGTCCCCGCAGGTTAAGCGCCCTTTTTATGAGCCGAAACCTAGACTCACGCATCCTAAGTTGCTCTATTAAGTCCCTCTAACCATTATAACAAAACTCCAAAGTTACGGTGAGAGTTGAGGTTTATATTGTTATATTCCAACAATGAGTATTGCAACAAGTTATAAAACATGATCATTGTTACATAAAAACACATAAGAGGTGGCCGAGAAATGTTAGTTCAAGGACACTTACTGATGGGTAGTTACCGTCCCAAGTAGGCACCTACAGGAAATAAGAGCAACTTATTAAAAAAGATAAGTTACCAAGTGACAGATACATTAGGATTACGTATTTTCTACAAATCGAAATCGTAAGGCAATGAAAGAGATAAAATGTGAAATAAATTTTACAAGGGACACACACGTTAACTGATAACATAAGTTTGGTTTTTCATTTTCCAGACTTGTTCAACTCCGTTGTGCGATACATTGTACCAAGCCAACCTATTATTTCCCTAATTTTTTCTGTTTCTCTCTTTGTTTTTCACTTCAAATATACATCATCAGTTGAATAATATGCTACTGGTTAATAGTAACCAATAAACTAAAATGTAGGTTATGAGGATGACGGCTGACATCTGACTAAGCACAGTCTACAGTTAATCCATAACATGTTACTTCTGAAAAGCATTATCAATCTTCTTATAGTCATACACCGGTTGTGCATTGATTTAAGAACTGGACGTTGTTGATTATATAAGCAACTGCCAAAAATAGTCACCCATATTGCTTCTTGCAACTCTGTCGAGACTCGTTCCATTCCTAATTCTGGTGACTCCAAACCTTGAATGAAAATATCATCAGAATAAATGGTTGTCAGGCTCTCGCCATTTCAGAAACTATAGTAATCTTCTGGCTATAGGCTTAGTCCGTAATGAATCGTAATCCCCGTATTATTCCATTTCTCTTTCCATTTTAATTCTACAAAAGCACAATTTCGAACTCTAAAACTAAATAATGGAACTGAGAGGTAGCCGCACCAATCTTGGCAACTTCACAAACACAAGCATACAGACATTTTGATGGGTTAGAACAACACAAAGATGCGCAAATAAATCATAGCGTCCTCAAAAACGTTCTTGATTCAAAGAGAAAATTGTCTTCACAAATGAAAGAAAGAGGAGATGAGCGAAGGCAATAGCAAAAAGGGAAGAGCGACAAACCCAAAATACGGAAACGAGATTTGAGATTTTAAATTGAGAGGAAAGCTGGAAAGGATCCGAGGAGCTTCGAGAAGTATGTAATTTCTCCTCAGGTTGTTGTTGCTTCGATTTTATCGCCCGCTGCGTTTCCTTTTCCTCCCATTATTACTCATCCCCACTCTCAGGCTCTCACGCAGCTCTGCAGATCTTGAGGTTAGAATATCGCGAGATCTCGCCGCCAGGGTTGGCTAGTTGGTTTATCTTCTCCCCTCTTCTCTGTATTTTTAATTAATAGTGGGAAACAAGGGGGAATCGCGATAGATCCCACCGCCCTCTTTCTCGCTTTCAATGCTCCTTTTTTTTTTTCTCTCTCTTCTTTTTTTCCCCTTTTAATGCTCCTCATCTAACGATTTCTCGCTTTGTTTTGTTTTAATATCTTTTTGCTTCGATATCTCGGGTGGTAATTTGTTTTAAGTATTTAACCGCGTTCACCATCATTTATTTATTTAAAATCACCTACTTTTAAGTTCCTCCCCATCTGACTGCTGTGAACCAATTACTCTCTGGGCTGTTTGGCTTGCTTAAAAATAAAACACGCCGAATGTTGGATGTGACATTTGTTGCAAGAAATTAACTCCGAATCTAATATTTAGATATTTGTAATTATATTGTAGAAAATATGTTTTTAAATATAAGTTTAGTATTTGGTTGGAAACTATTAGGCAAATGCTATAAAGTTGTATCATAATAAGAAACTAAAGTGTAGATGTTTTCTTTAAAGCTTTAAAAAGATTTTTTAATGATGTGGAATTATTTTTTTTATCCTCTTTTGTTATGTCTGCAGATTATCCTCCCACTAAATGGTTGTAGCATTTGTTAAAAAAAATTATATAAAATGCAAGTTCATTTATCATTCCTAATTACAAAGTTATAAATCTACGAATATATTTACAAATCTGATTATTCTATTTACATTTATAACTTTATTTCCATCCAATAAGCAGCCCCTTAAATCCAAACGGTTTATTTAATGAAAAAACATGTCTTAAGACAAAATTACCCAACATCTACTAACTTCTTTTCCTTCTTTTTCCTTTCCTTTTTCCCCCTTCTTGACAAGTGATGCGGCATAAACATGTACCAAAAATGTTGCAAGTGCACAACCGTGCCAAGTTATAGTATAAAGATATCGATCCCACGAGAAATGTGTTTTGTAGGAGAAAATATAAAATCGGTTCTTATGTTGTGTACGTGACAAATAAGAGTGATGAGTGAATGTGATTGTGAAGAGATTAAGAAGGTGATAGTGTGTAAATAAGCACAAAATATAAGTGAGAATGGATGTGACAATGAATGAATGATTTCCACAAGGAGAGATGAATAAATTTAAGAATCAAAAAAGAAAATCAAGAATGAAAATAAAATTCAAGAAAGTAAAGATGGCGGATTCAATTAAAGATATGGGTAATCATTAAAGATATGGGTAATCTAGAATTGAATCCACTTCTTAGAAAATGGTGATTCCCTAGAGGGTTCTAGCCTAAAGACGAATCAAAGAAAATAAAAATAAACAAAAAGAAAAACTAAACCCAAGAGGGTTCTACCCTCAAGGTGAATAGTACAAGAAATTAAAATCTAACTATAAAATAAATTGTAAAATCTAAAGTACAAAATATATTACAAGAATTAAATATAAAAAAATAAATCTACTCTATAAACATGAAATAAATCTAATCTATAAGCATGAAATAAATCTAAGGCAATAGGGTTCTAGCCTCTTGGCTATTTAAACAAGAAAATAAAATCTAATTACTAGCATGAAAATAAATCTAAACTAATAAGCAATAAAAGAGAAATAAGAAAAACAAACCTTCAAATTAATCTCCATCTTCATCTTCATCTTCATCATCCAACAAAGAGAAGAAAAGAAAAATTTAAAGTGGTGAAAAAATTCTTTTATTAATTGTAACAAAAAGTTATAAATTTGGAAGACCTTCTCAATTAAGAGTAGCCCTCCTCTCCAAAAAGAGTTACAAAATTTTCACACCTCTAACCCCTCACTCTCTACCCCTATTTATAGTAAACATCAGTGAATGAGAGCCCTTTGATCGAAATCTTATCCAAAAATATTAATTTTCATCCACCAGCATGGTGACGTTGACAAGGGCATGAGGCTTATTGTGGGATCTAGAGAAACCCAACAGCGGGGTAAGGATTTTTACCACCAGCAACAAGGATAGTATAAGATAGGAGTACGACATGATTCGAGAGCGCCGCAACAGCATAGAGTTCGAGGTACATGTTACAATTATAACAAGATCGGACAAAGAGCGAAGGACTTGTCACAGTACACCAGCAGGAAGCTGGCATAACAGAGGCCAGGGTCGGCAGTCTCAGAGCCGCGATTACGGCCAACAATAGAGGGTAGAGGCACTACCTGTTATTCAAAGGATTAAGGAGCCAGTAGGCCAGATTTGCATTATCCAAGATATTCCTGAGGGACGGATGGTCCCATATATTTTCCATCATCGACAGAGTTTATGCAGCCATACCGCATGATCATGGTGTGAGCGGAGCTTTCTTCATGATTTCCTTTCTAGCTCAGACCTTGTTTTATTTAGGAATTTCACGTTCTTCTAGCTTTCATGCCTTCATGGATAGGCTTCAGCTTGTAGCACATCCTTTAGATGTTCTGTTATCAGTCTCTATTCATCTAGGGGAGGTATCCCTATTAGAGAGTATCTGTAGGAGATGTGTCACCAGTCTGATGAGTTCGAGTTTCTCATAGATCTGATCATGTTGTGGATGTCAGATTTTAACATTATTCTTGGTATGGATTGGCTATCATCCTACCATATTAGTATCGACTATTTTGCTAAAATAGTTAGCTTGTAAGCATCCAATGGGTCTGAGTTGGTAGTAGCGACCCACAGGGCAACCAGTTTGTGAGTCATTTCTTGCATACATCGAGGAGGTGATGCTGAGGGATCGGAGTGCTGATTTGTGTGAGATTAGAGTTGTCTCAGATTATCAGGATGTCTTTCAAGACATACCTAGGTTACCTCCTATGAGAGAGGCTGAGCTCTGCATCGAGTTACAGCCGGGCACAGTACCGATATCCCGAGCACCCAATCGTATGGCACCTACTGAGATGAGGGAGCTACTGACTCAGCTGGACAAGTTGTTATCTCAGGGTTTTATTCGCCAAAGTTATTCTCCATGGGGAGTGCTGGTTCTCTTCATGAAGAAGGACGATAGTATACGCTTATGCATAAATTATCATGAGTTGAATAAGGTCACTATCTGAAACAGGTATCCACTACCGAGGATTGATGACTTATTCGACCAGCTGTAAGGAGCACAGTGTTTCTCGAAGATTGATCTTCGTTTAGGCTATCATCAGTTGTAAGATCGGGAGATTGATATTCTCAAAACTACCTTTTTGATTCGATATGGGTCTTTTGAATTTCTTGTCATGCTATTTGGGTTGACCAATACAACCGTGATAATCATGAATTTGATGAACCGGGTTTTTTCATCCGTACTTGGACCAATTCGTGATTGTTCGTTGGAAAATTTGTAGTAAAATAAATGAAAGAAATATTGACTTGTATTCCTTTAATCTCAGTTACAATTGGATTTCCTGATTATAAAAGAGAGAAGAATGATCTGGATTCTCCCCTTTGTTTAAAACTAGGTTCTTCTCGGTAGCAATAGAGTGCCTCCTTCGAATGCTTGCGTCGAATTTTCTCTTTGTTGACAATCCGACCGTCTTGTCTCGTAGGAACAATTAACTTATGTGGTAAGTTTGATGGGTAACTCTTAACGAGTTTAAGAACTCAGAACGAATTAGAACTCTGTGAAAAGAGTTGTTAAAACCGAATAATCGGTTAATAAGCCAAATAGATTTGTTTGTTGCTGAAGTTGAAGATGCCAATCTCCTCCAAAATCAGTCCTTAGCTGTTGATGAATGCACCCTTGTTTGTTGCTGAAGTTGAAGATGCCAATCTCCTCCAAAATCAGTCCTTAGCTGTTGATGAATGCACCCCAACTGAATTGAACTGCCTTGGAGCTGTTGATATCAAAAAGATCCTCAAAAATCCGATCTTCAGCCCCTGAGAACTAACTCGACCGAACCAAACTGAAAAATTCGAACCACCGAACCCCTTTCTCTGTTGAGTTTGTTGAGGTTTTATTGGAGGATAAGGGGTTGTAACAGCCTCCTTAATCCGCTCCTAAGTGGGCGTGATTTCCTCAGATCGTGGGAAAACGGTTCTAAAACTGTTCGACTCGTGTTTGAATGAGTCAAACACCCAATTTGGCATTTAGGACCCTAACTCCGCGTCTTAGAATTGAGATGCAGAGTTGGGTGTTGACCGAACATCAAAAACGCGAGGGTCGCTCGCGTTTCGCTTGTTGCAGCTTGGAAATTAGAACGCGAAGATGAATTCCGTGTTTAGAAGGGGTTAGTTGACTTATAACCTCTTCTGTAGAGCGTTGCAAGGACCATTGTTCAGTAATCCCCACTTTAGCTGTTGTGGGGGTGTGAAAGTTGTCAGATTGTAACTCTCACTGTTGATTGTGAAGACCACTGAATAGAGTTTTCATCAGTTGTCGGAAGTGTCGTTGAATTGTAACTCTTCTCGATCTATGTGAAAAGTCCTCCATTTGCAGCTTTCATTTGTTGACATGAAAGTTATCTGATTGTAACTTTCATTATTGAAGCTTGATAGGGATCAACTATATCCATTGTGATTTTTAGACAACCTACAGAATGTAGGCATATAAAATTGCTTATAGGTCCCCTAGCATAGCTCGGCACAAACCGACGAACCAACGATCAAAAGAACCATTCTCGGGATCCTGAGGGAGTGCAGGCTCAGGAAACATACTCTCGGGCAGCGGGCCATTGATCTGAGGAGAGTCATATATGAAGTGGAACATAGAAGTGTCTGTAGGAAAACCTGCCTCGTCGAAATCATCAATCGAAAAATCTGACACAAAGAAATGTAAGTACGAAAGAAGAATGAAGAGAATATGACCAATGGAAATAGGTTACCTCTCGTAGATGCATCTGGATTCACTGAATCAGGTCCTACATTGGTAGCCTCCCTAAAGTCAGCAGCTTCTGCAGGTTTTTCTACCTGGTAAGGTGAGTCAGGCTCACCAGAAGATACAAACTCCTGAGGAGCAGGATCGAAACTCATCTCCCCTTCCTCGCGCTCTCCTGCATGGAATGGGAAAGCATCAGCCTAAAAAAAATCTAAACGATCAAGAGAATGATCTATAGAGTAGATGTTCCCTCTGTCACTAGCAGGATCATCACCAGCCAAGTCCATCTCAGATGCCCGCGAACCTGCAGGCGGC